GTGGTGACTGCAGCATCTAAAGGCGCTACTAGAAACACACAGATGTAAACAAGTGGAACACAATTGTTTACAAGCACTTACCGTAAAATTGGATTCCCAAATTTGCTTTGTATTTGTTTGTCAGTGCAGAAAAGTGCTTTTTTTAAGTTCTTGCACGTGCATGTTTGTTGATGAGTGAGTCACCATTGGCTGCAGAGTCTGATACAGATGAAGACTCAAGTGGTTTAGATGCTATTGATTAGAACCCCCTTGTTTCTGTGCAGTGACACACATACAAAAACACGCACACCTCCTCTTTCTCTCTTCTCTCTTCCCCCATTTTATCCCAGCTCCCTGCTTTCTGAATCCATTTCTGCATCTCACACCCACTCGTTTTGCAGCAGTCAGACCCACAACCAGCCATAATGAAGTGGCACTGCATGATCACAAACACTGCTGTGTGTCTAAATGAGCTGGAGAGGAAGCTGGCGGCGTTTCTGCTTTGTTTCCTAATTATTTACTTCTTGCAGAGCATAGGTGAGAGCAGTAAGAATAAGGTGGGAGGAGGGAGTGGTATGGGACAACCAAAGGAGACAAGGGGTGACAAATGAGAGAGGAGAAGAAAACTGACAATATATTCAGTGTATGGAAACTGATTGGCTACGGCACCTGCAGCAATCCTCAGCCGGCTTTTACATGTCAAAACATCCACATTGTTTTTCAGAAAAACCTACAAGAGTGATGGCCTCTAACTAAAGAAAGCCTTGGCCTAGTCCCTCTTGCTTTACAGCTTCTTATTGCTCAAAAAAGAAAAAAGAAAGGTCTGGTTGTAACAGCCAGATGAGTCATGCACCAAGCTCAGAACTCAAGCCAGGGCTTAGCACACACCTCCTCGGGGCAAAGACAACACACACACAGAAAGACCGTATGCATGAAAATGGTGCATCTGCAAAGAAAACTCACAAGCTCACACTTCGGTCCCACCAGGTGTGTGTAATCTTATCCGCAACAGAGTTAATCTGCTCACTTTTGCAGACCAACAAAGTGTGGTATACTTACATCCTCACAAATCCTTCCCACTGTGTTTCAGAGAATTATGCTCTGTGTCTTCTGTGGCATCCTTCAGTTTTTCAAGTAAAAATCACTAAGAAAGACTTGTCTACCTGAAACTGATTGGCCCCTCCTGGTGCCCCACCAAGATGATCGACATGTCCCAGCACCAAATAACTCCAGTAAAGTTCTAGTGCTATGCAGAGGTGGAAAGAGTGCAAAAAAAAAATAAATAAATAATGAAATGAAATAACTCAAGTAAAATGACTATGTAATTTTGATCAATGAAATTCACAAATATAATTAAAGTTACCTGTACAACAAATAACTTCTAATAAAATGTGATTTATTAGTTATCTAAATAGAAATAGAACATAATTCTGACTCATTTTATAAAGGGACAGAGGCGATATTTGCCTCAAACTGTTAATAATTAATTAAAAAAATCACTCCTATGAGAGAAAATGCAGCACAAAAATAATAAAACATAAACCAGTTTTACCTGTAAAGCACAAATTAACAACACCTGTTTTCTCGAGCTACTTCATACGGAAGAGGATTAGGGCCACTGAAAAAAAAAATATATAACCATAGCTATATTTGAAGTTACGGAAGAAAAAAAAAAAGTTGACTGATTTTTTAATTTTATTTCAGTTTAACATGGGGAAAAAGTCAGAATTCTGACTTTTTTCTGAGAGTTTTGACTTTAATCTCAGAGTTCTGACTTTTTTCTCAGAATTCTGACTTTAATCTCAGAATTTTGGATTTTAATGTAGATGGGAACTATGAAAGAAGAGATGTGGGAGCACTCAGCTTCACTGACAAAGATGTGAGTTGTGTGAGAGGGCCAGTGACACATTGGTGGAAAATGACGGAATTAGGCAACTTTTTACATGCCTGAGGAGTCCCCTCATTAATGGAGGAGCAGAAGGTCATTAAAACAAGAGAGCTAGTCTCTAAAAAAGACATGGCTATGGCTTGATGCTAACATGTTTGTTACAGTAGCTGTCAGAATTCTGAGAAAAAAGTCAGAATTCTAAGATTAAAGTCCAAATTCTGAGAAAAAAGTCAGAATTCTGAGATTAAAGTCAGAATTCTGAGAAAAAAGTTCGAATTCTGAGATTAAAGTCAGAAGAATTCTGAGAAAAAAGCCTGAATTCTGACTTTTTCCCCATGTTAAACTGAAATAAAATTTAAAAATCAGTTAACTTTTTTTTTTTTTCAGTGGCCCTAATCCTCTTCCGTAACCTCAAATATAGCTATGGTTATATATTTTTGGGGGCAAATATGTATAGCTGCTGTCTTTAGGGTTCCTAAAGCTGATAATTTCTCACATATCAGCATCCGTTTCCCTCAAATAAAACTCTCTGCATCCTTTCACATTTCTATGAAGCTTTTTTTTTGTGGTTTTCCTCCTCTTCGTAATGATTGTGATCTTTATCCTGATTTTCGAATACTCACTATCCCTCGTGTCAAACAGGTTTAGATAATACAATCTAAAGTAAAAGCTTACAGTACTGTTTTTTTTAGGTCCAGCTAATATAAATTATAATAACAAGCAGTAGATAGGACTAATATTATTCACATTTGTTGTTAAAATATTATCTAACATGACTATGTTAATAGTTGTAAATGTAACTAATTACTTTCTACCTCTAGTGCTATGCAATTGAAAGGGTTTCATTCAACCAAACTAGAGGAAAATCTTTACAGTGCTTATAACATTTGTTGCATTGTTCTTTGTGATAAAACCAACTTTCAGAGTGGCCTTTTATTGTGGGCAGTCTAAGGCACACCTGTGCACTAATCATGGTGTTTATCAGCACCTTGATATGGCACACCTGTGAGGTGGGATAGATTATCTCAGCAAAGACGTGCTCATTTTAGAGAATTAGACTCGTTTGTGAACAATATTTCAGGGAAATGGTGATATATTGTATACAGAAAAAGTTTTAGATCTTTGAGTTCATCTCATAAAATGGGAGCAAAACCAAAAGTGTTGCATTTATATTTTTGTTGAGTGTAAGAGAGAAGGTATATCTTCATTAAAAAACTGAAGAAAGAATGGCAGAAAAGGAGATAAAAAAAAAAAAAATCAAAATAGGAGAAATAACGATAAATGGAAGGAGCAGAAAGGAGAAAAGATTAATAAAAGGACTTAGATCTAGACATAACAGGCTTAATTCTATACTTCAAAATACAAAAGCTTAATTCAGATATATATAGAAAATATTATATTCATATGATATTATATTCCAAAGATCTTAAATTCGTACGATAAAATGCCCAGTACTTGTATAGCACTACACTTTGGTTCTCTGTTTTCAAAATATCAGTTCACCCATTCATAAAGACATACACACACTGACAAAGTTTCAGATTTTTGTTACATTTTCTGTTAATAGAATACTAGATGCAGAACTGTTATTACCTATACGCTTAATATGTACTTCAATATATAATGTATATACAATGTTTTGACCATTCACACTCGCAAATGATTGAGAAAAAAATTTCCTCCTTATATTCTACTTACTATGGATGTCTAAAATATGCATTTACATTGAGTTAAGTTGCACACAAACTAACTGTATTGATAACTAGGGGACTTCTAGAGGCAGGATGTTGCCCTGGATTTTTTAGCTGAGTTGTCAGAGGCAGAGCACAAATTCAAGACATGTCAGACATATGATCTGAAAATCAAAAAGTTTTGCCATATTTAGTTAGACTGATGTGAAGCTAAATTTGTCAAGAAAAGCCCCAAAAATAAAAGCCATTATTTGCTGTGTTACTGAAATACAATGAGACCAAGAAAAGCTACAGGGGAGCGGTATGTGTTTGCAGGAGATTTACATCCTTCCAGTAATATTTCAATATTGTGTTTTGTTTGTTTGTGTAAATAAATCATCTATAAGCATTCAACAGATGGTAGGCTGCTAGTCACATTGTATGTTTTGGCCTATATTTGCTTTATTCAGTTTCTCTTGGTGTCATTTCCTCCCAGAAATGTACACAGAGACACAGACTAAATGTCCCCCCTGTCGGAGCAGACAGAGACTTTGCCTGTTGTGGAAGTTTATGTCCTAGTCGGTGCCTAGAATATAAAGTGCCTTATTTCTATGAATCCCATTGCTCAGGTAAACATAGGACAAAATTTAGGTTGGCAAGTGTGTGAAGGTTTATACTTCTAAACCTGCATACACACAGTAAAGATTAATGCATTTTTTTTTATTGATTGTGCTGAATAATAGTAAAAAAAAAAAACTATATTTGATTTGGATTTTACAATAAAAAGTTACTGCCTTCTTTCTGAGTTGTATTTTTTTGTTTTTTCTAGAAATTAGGCTAAAGTTAATAATTGGCAGCTTATTTAATTACTGAAAATTGGAGCTTTAATTTGTTAACAGGGAAATTTGAAATAATAATTGCTTTTTAGATCAAGAGCTGGGTTGCCTGGAACCCACATTACCCCCTGGTAAGAAGACTGCCTTGCTCCACGTGTGAAATGATGATGACTTCAAAGTAAGAGTTGTAGGATTTGACAAAAAGAGCTGTTACTTCCAGACTTAGCATCTTTATTTGACAGAAACTCTGTAACATGACAACATTCACATTATTCACCCATTTTATTTAAAATCAACTAATTATCACAGACTGTTTTATTGGCAGATTTGTGATGTTTACATGCAGTGAAATGTTAAATGGTCTGTACTTTTATCCCTTTTTAAGCCAGGGGACTCCATAGAGTTCTTACACTACATTCAGTTAATCACCCATTCACACTCACGCTCACACACTGATGGTTGGAGGCAATATTATAGCCACAGCTACTCTGGGGCACACAATGTGAGGGCAGATGGGCCCTCTGACAACTAACAACAGTCAATGGGGTTAAATGTTGCCAATGAAGATTGAAAGAAATGCAGTTTGCATTGTGATTGTGTTTTCTTTTTTTTATCTGCTTTTTACAGAATGCGGGAGCGGGGTCTCTGGATTTGTGGAGTAGGTGTATGGAGTCTACTGCTATCCCTCTGTCTGGCTTCTTTCACACATGCACACAGGAGTCATACAGGTAATTTAATTCCTTTATATGTTTACTGTCTGTCTTTTTTATATATACATGTGTTCCTTTTGGCTGGTGAGAATCTTTCTATAAAAAAAGACACACAGTATTGGAAATTTTTAGCTTACTTCTGCAAGAATCCTCTTTGGTTCATTTTTTTTTTGTGTTGTAAAGTTGGAATGAAGAGACTCTAATTCACATGAGCGAATCTCCAAGACATATCAGATCCACAATAAAATATGAGATCACAGAAGGATCACACAAGCTGTTTGCAAGAATGAACACAGTTAAAAGTTAGATAATTGTAAAAAAAAAAGCATGTCAACCTTTTTTGCTTTTTGTAGAAACAGAGCTTCCAAGTAAGGTTATAAATATAGTCTTGGTATTTTTTTTTTTTTTTGAATTCTACTCATTTAGGCTCATATTTTTCATGTTATTGTTGACAATATGTAGTATCAAGTTTATAAGCTTACTGTCAAGTTGAAAATTAAAAAGTGTCATACACCCATTTTTTCGTGATAGTAAATGAGCTTGTCCAATTTGGTCTGTGTAAAAGGGAAGCAATTGCAAAAAAAACTACACTTTGGTGCTGTAGTAAAAGCTTTTTAGCTTTTTTCCTTATTCTACAACTGCATTAGTTACATTATGAGCAGATGATGCACCTCAATAAAAAAAGGAAATATTTGTTTTGGTTATTTTGTTTATTTAGATTAAACCTATTTATAGCAAACATTACTGCAGTGCACCTATAGATAAAAAGGTTAAATCCCTATCCAATTCCACAATAATGCCAAAAGTATTTGATTACTTTTTTTGATTTAGAAATAGAGCTCGACCGATATGGGATTTTGAAGGCCCATACCAATATTAATATGAGGGGCTTTAAACAACCAATATCCGATATATTGGCCGATATCAGATATTGGCAGATATATATATATATATATATCAGCCAGAAAATATAAAAAAAAAAAACTGAACATAAACATATGCAAAGTCCAACTATAGCCCAACTCATATTGTTATAACCAAAAATAGGATTCAAAACTAGGAACTCTTGCTTTGTTCCCAACCTAAACGAGGTCACAGTCATGATGAATTATTGTTTGCATGCAAGAGTTGAAATGGTCAGTTGCAATTCTTACTGTAGGCATGTTTCACGTATTAAAGCCAGATCCACATATATTGCAGGAACAAAAGCGTCTCAGCAGATTGTGGCTCAAGATACCGCATTTTTATTATTATTGTTTAAAAAAAGAGAACATAAAAAGTATTTGGTCAGCTATTATGACCCTCTGATCATGGGAAAAAAAAAAAATGAAAAACTATAATGGTAGACAACAATGACACACAGAAATCTCTGCCTGGTTTAAAAAAACCAAACATTTAGCAGTGGTTTTAAAAACATTTAGGTTTGCTACCATTTATTTAAATATGCATGGTGTAAACATTATTTTCCTGATAACCATTGTGCATGAAATACAACTGAAGTAAAAATATATGTAAGTCACTATTTAAAAAATGTTGTGATACCTTTTATGATAAAGTATTTATTTGGTGAAGAAATTAGTCTCAGCCTTCATAGCACCTTCACTGTATATCTTAACCTAACCTTTGATCAACAATTCTCTTACTGTGTTTGGGTCCCTTTTGGAAGTCTAGACAAAAAGCAAAAGGCTTTTAAGAAAATCAAAGGAAGATAGTGTACAGTGGAGCAAAGATATTTATTTAACTTATTTTATTCAAATAACTCTTGCTACTGAGCAGGCAATTTTATCAACTTTATTTATAGTAGTGCTTTCAGTGCATTTTATGTCCAAATCCTTACTTGTTCAACTTGTCCATTAGTGGCTTCCTGAAATAGGATATTACTAGCTGGACTTTTTTCTGGAATTCTTAAAACAAAATCTATTTCAGACAGACCTGCGTGAGTCATTTGATGTCCTGTGAGGAAATTGAGAATTTCTCATAATGTTATCACTGCTTAGTAACACGATTCTTTGTAGAGGTGTATCCATCTGTACAGTGAATTTGTGTCCTTGGTGGAATATGATAACATGCTTCTTTTTTTATGTGTGTCTTTAGTGTCTGTTTTTGAGTGAAACAGACTCTCCTGCTTTTTGGCTGTCAGGCATCATCATTTGCTCTCAATAGAAATTCATGAAAAGGCAAGGGCAACTATTTTTATAGTATTAAGGCTGCTAAAAGGCATAGAAAGAAGGCCAGCCTTTCTCATAGTAGGTAGCTTCATCAGTGCTGATGTCCACACCAAGCGAGTGAAAAATTGAAAATGTTGATAAATAAGAGAGATAGGGTAAGACAAAATAAAAATTGGGTCCTAATTCTGAAATATTTTTACTCTAGACACTTTTATAGGCTGTTGCAAGTAATCGGTGCAAAGGAATTAGTAGGATCTGAATTAAACAGTTGGAGTACAGCAGGGCAATCTTTGGATTTTCCTACAGCAGCTTCATTAGTTTTTGGAGTAAAATGTAATGGGGCTTGACAGGGTAAAAATAACAGAGTGGAAAGTTGCACAGCAATGTGGGTTTTTTAGTGCATTTGAATAGTTTGTTTACACTGACTGCAAGCATGACGCTGATCTTGTGTTCTGCTTGTTTTATTACAAGTTGAAAACATGATACAAACATGCTGTTGTGTTAACTTGCACAAACCTTTACATGTTTGATTTGGAAAAAATGTGCAGCTGAGTTTATTTTACTCTTTCCAAATGTAGGAGTCAAGCCAAGGATTTGGGATCTATCATCTGTCAACTAACAAAAAGATGTCAAATGGCGGGGCTCTTAGCCATGCAACAACAAAATATCACTTTCAGCGACATTCCCTGAAACACATTGCTGTAATTATTTTCCAGATGGAATGTTTGCATCAAATCATGTGTTATCCTACAACATTTAATTGAATGCTAGTGTTAGCATAGCAAGCAATGTAAAAGCAAAGCGAACTCTCTCTTTCCACCACATATAGGGGAGTAATGTTTTTTACATCATAATTTTCCTGACACGTATGAGATTAACTTTGAGATTTCATTACAACTGAACTTTAAAAGTAATAATTGGTGGAGGGTGCTTTTAGGAGAGACCTGCTTATATAAAGGAATACATTGACTAAGGCTGGTCCCCCTCTTTATATATTAAGCACAGGGAGGTGAAAGCTGCAGATAACCAGACATCTCACTGGAGGATGAGGAGCTGGGAGATTGTTATGTCAGTTAGCAGTGCAGCTCCTTCACTTGCACCGCTTAGAGTTATTACAACAACTAGAGTGAGATAAACACTATTTAGAGAGTTAATTTATCACTAATTCAAAGCGGGACAAAATTCACTCAGATTGGTGTTAAATTTAACTCTTAAAGTGTTATTTTAACACTGCAAAATGTACTGTGTAGGACATGCTTTTTTTCTTAATTATGTTTCATTATTTTTTGTTTCTTTGAAAATGTAAAATATATTTCTGGGCCTTTTTTGCTATTTGTTTTCAACTTCACATTGCTATGTTAAAAACAGGAACATCCCACTTTTTACTAGCTTATCTGGCACTAAAACAACACCTGTACTTTCCAAAGACACTTGATAAAAGCATGCCTGATGATGATAACTAATGTTTTTGTTCAGGGGCTATATCCGAACAATATTCCAACTACCTTAATTCACTGATACAATCTCTGACCACTTTTTGTTTCAAACTCTGTATTACAGTATAATTCTAATGTGTCTCAATGACACTTCAAATGCTACAGTAACAGTGAAAAATTAAAGGCAAAAAGACAATACTACAAAAAGGATACCAAGAGAAAATATGATATTAAACTCTGATAAAGCTCTCTGTAAATTAGGTAATGTACATACATAAACCTAGTAAATGTCGATAAATGTAAAGAATAAAACACAGTCAGCTTAAGACAGGTTAAAACTGTGCCAATAATATTGCCTTCTTAATGGATATAGTGTAAAGCCAATAGTGTGCACGGATGTCATTTTGACCCTCCTCAATCCTCAAGTAAACATCCAGTATGCTTCTCATAAGTGCATTTCTTTGAACCCCCTATCCTTACAGTCTTCTTAAGCCTAAAGACCACTGCTGCAACATGTTAGTAGGATTCAGCCACACCAGCCATAAAGGTGCAATGAGCAAAGTTTCCCTAGCCAGTTGGATGAAGAATGACCCAGGGCTTGATTGGAAAATATCTCAGCTGCCGGGACTGCAGAACCTGGGCATGAATAGATTTATAATTCTAATAGAAAATTAGAGGGCAGCAATATATAATCACAATTTGTTCAGCAAAACACCAATTTGAAATATAAAAAACCTCAACATGTTAATGTTCTCCACAGTGTTAATCAATGCTTACTGCAGGTGCAAAACAAATACATTTTCTGTCATTATTTCTTACTTACCAGCAGTCTTAGAAGGATTCAATTTGTACTGCATTCAGATTAAGGATACCTTAATAGCGTAAAAACCCTTTCCTAAATCCACCCATGATGAGTAAAGCTAAGCATATCATGGATTATGAAAATTGCCCAGTTTATAGATAAATAACCTATTACCATCAGTATATTTTCAACGTGAAAGCCGATTCCAGGTTAAAAAATTATTTTATTCAAAACAAATATGTCCTGCAGAGACCAACCTATGTTATGCAGAAGCAAAAGAGAAGCATCAAAACACAGAAGTTGTTTACAGACAATGCTGCTAAAATTACCAGATTCATTGCAGGCCTTCACCCAAAGTTAGTTTGGGAACTCTAGGGAACTCAAAGGTTTTCCTTTTCTCAAAGAGAGGTTACTCATTCTCTGTGTCTATAGTAACATTCTCCCTGTAGAGATAACCTGGTCAGGAGCAGACTTTCTTGTCTGAAATCGGACTGACCTCTGTCTCTGCCTTATTATTCTAGTCTTACCTGTTTGAACATTTTTATACTTCATGTTAACCTGCTGCAAGGTGTGCCTCTCCTGTGTGGGATTGCACCTTCACATGATATATTG